TAGAGCCCAGGCACAGAGTTCAAACCCCATAATGGACACAAAAAGAAGTTTTTTACAGGTATTTACTATCATGTTCCAAAAATTAACTGATTGTGATATAGCAATTAGGATCAGTCATGGTTCTAGCAAGTTGTAATCTGAAAAATCATGTCTCTCAATGATCTCTGAGGCCCAGATTCCATTTCTAAGACTAGTTAAAATGTAATGACTGATATTTGTCAATTCCATAAATGTGTCAGAAGAATTGGAAACTTGCTGGCTAGGTCCTAGAATAGCACAACTTTTGCTGAGAGGGATCTGTGTACTGGTGGATAAGGCCAAGACATAGATGTTGCTGACTGACACAGCCTATCAGAGCCTTCAATGTAATGGCAAAGAGAAGTCACTGACAACTGTTCAGAGATTTCTGGTACTTGACTAAAGAGGCTCAGGAAACTTCATATGAAAGCTACTTTATTCGCAAGTGTTTTCTTTGTAGAAGTGCAAATGAAATGTAGACTGCTAATATTGTAAATGGGTATAGAAATATAACAATGAAATCGCCTTTTGGGGCTGGGAAGGTGGCTCAGTGGTAGAGCACTTGCCTTGCATGCATGAGGCCCTGGGTTTGATTCCTCAGCACCACATAAGCAGAAAAAAAAAGCCGGAAGTGGTGCTGTGGCTCAAGTGGTAGAGCGCTAGCCTTGAGCTGAAGAGCTGAGGGACAGCGCCCAGGGCCAGAGTTTAGGCCCCACGACCAGACCCTCCACCCCCCGAAAAAAGTAATCCCCTTTTGTTTAACTAATGTAAGCTAATAAAAAAGAATGCAATATAAATGAAAAAATAACTTAAATATGACAATAAAACTAACCAGCATTTTCCTCATGGCCTGTATAATGAAAAGCAGTGTGTTACAAAATATAGAAGCTTCTGTAGTTGGGCCAGGGTACACACCTTGTGTCTACTATATGCATGTTTTTTAATTTTACCTTTTATTTACATTTTATTAGTATATATTAATTGAACAAAATAAGACATTTCATTATGAAATTTTCACATATGTATCTTCTGTACCATACCTCAGATGAGTGACTTTCACAAAAGTAACATTAAACAGGTGAGACTATATGCAGGGTCAAAGACTTTATAACATTAAGGTAATAATAGTTACCTCACTGGAATTAGAAATGACAATGTATATTATCAAGTTTAAGAGTGAGTGTAACTAGTTAGTTCAGTGTTTAATTGAAAGACATTATGACTATCATTTTCTTTTCAAAATACTAGAAAATGTCCAAATATTAGCTAGGTATCACTGGAAATTTATATAAGTAGATAGAATATTGTCAATATTAGAATATCTATCTAGGTGATATTAAAAAATCAAGGGGAGGACTGGGAATATGGCTTAGTTGTAGAGTGCTTGCCTACCATGCATGAAGCCCTGGGTTTGATTCCTCAGTACCAAATAAACAGAAAAAGCCAGAAGTGGTGCTGTGGCTCAAGTGGTAGAGTACTAGCCTTGAGTAAAAAGCTCAGGGACAGTGCCCTGGCCCTAAGTTCAAGCCCTAGAACTGGAAAAATAAAGGGGGGGGGTGGAAGGATTTTATAATTTGAAAAACATTCAGCCTTCATCAAGTCCAGTTAACTACCTGATTTGGGTAAGTTACGTTGCAGTTGAGAACTTCACCTTATTAATATAAAAGTGTCTACAATTTTTAAAATCAAGTAAAAGAAATTAAGAGTACCTTTCTTGGATTAAGGAACTCATATTTCCGCAGTTGAGAACTTCACCTTATTAATATAAAAGTGTCTACAATTTTTAAAATCAAGTAAAAGAAATTAAGAGTACCTTTCTTGGATTAAGGAACTCATATTTCTGCCCTAGTGACAGATATGAAATTAAAAACTAAACAATTGTTTTATGTAGTTTATATGTCTCTTCATGGAAAGGTGTGTACTTATTCATAAAAAGAGAAGTAACAAATTGACGGTTAAAAATCCTAGAAATTTTGCTCTTACATCTATGGTTTGTACCAGGATGCTTAGATACCATACGTACAACTAACAAGCAAACAAAATAAAACCACCTAGTAGCCTTCTGTGTGTGCGCGCATGTACGTGCGCATGTGCGTGCCAGTACTAGATGGGGCCTTTCACGTTTGCTTGGCTTGTTTCATCAAAGCTGGTACTCTACCACTTGAGCTACCTTCTACTTCCATAATTAGAGATAAGTCTTGAGGATTTGTCTGCTCAGGCTGGTTTTGGGCCAAGATTCCAAGATCTCAGCATCTTGAGTAGCTAGGATTACAGGCATAAGCCACTGGCACACAGTTCTTAAGTTACTTTGTATTCATGTTGGTAGGAGTATAATTTATCAAAACCTCCATATAAGACAATTTGGTAGCATGTAGTAAAATCACAAATGCACAAGCCTCTTCCCCATTAATTCTGCTTTTGTGAATTTGTCTTCAGATATACTTGCACATCTATGAAACAATACAGATTCAAATGTGCTACAACAATTTTTAAAGACAAAGGACAGGAAACAACCTATATATCCAGCCATATAGAGTCTAAGTAAATAAATTAAGATATACACTAAATTGAAATATGTAATATTTAAAAGGGATCTGGGCTTGTGTGTCATAAATGTGTCATTTCAGCTAAAGAGAAGGCAGAGCCAGGATTCAGGACAACCTGGACAAAATGGGTACCCCCCCGCAACATCTTTCATTCTTTTTTTTTTGGTCGGTTGTGGGGCTTGAACTCTGGGCTTGGGTGCTGTTCCTCAGCTTTTCAGCTCAAGGCGAGTGCTTTACCGCTTGAGCCACAGCGCCACTTCTGGTTTTCGAGTTGTTTATTGGAGATAAAGAGTCTCACGGACTTTCCTGCCCAGGCTGGCTTTGAACTGTGATTCTGAGATCTCAGCCTCCTGAGTAGCTAGGATTACAAGCGTGAGCCACAGGCGCCCGGCCCCCCAACATCTTAAAAAGAAAATACAAAGAGGCTAGGAGCATGGTTCAAGTGGCTGAGTCTTGCCAAGCATGCATCAGGCACTGGGTTCAATGATATTGTTTCTTTTGTATGTTCTTCCCCTTATGGTATGTCCCCTGTTGTCACTGTATTTGATTTTGGTATCCTGGTATTGCACATACCTTTATTTGAATTGGGGAAGAGAAGGGAAACAACAGAATGGTGAGACACAGGATAAATAGGGAACCAATGCAACAGCAATATACATAATATGGTGGAAATGATTTTTACAACTTGGGGGGGATGGGTGGGAGAGATGGAAATTAGGAGAAAAATAAGGGAGGTGGTAACAAGTTTGACAAGAAATGTACTTATTACCTTACTTATGCAACTGTAACTCCTCTGTATATCACCTTGACAATTAAAAGAAAAAAGCCAGGCACTGGTGGCTCATGCCTATAATCCTAGCTACTCAGGATGCTGAGATCTGAGGATCGTGGTTCAAACAGCTAAGGTAGGAAAGTTGGTAAGACTCTTATCTCCAAAAAAAACACCAGAAAACTGGAAGTGGCGCTGTAGCTCAAGTAGTAGAGCATTCACCTTGAGCTGAAGAGCTGAGGGACAGCACCCAGGCCGAGTTCAAGTCCCATTACCAACAAGGAGAAAGAGAGAGAGAGAGAGAGAGGAGGAGGAGGAAAACTTAGTGGAGAGGTACAACATTAAGGAAAAAGAAAATTAAAAAATATTCTAATATAAGGAAATTTTAGGAAGTTATTTAAAAAACAAAAAGCAAAAACTAGGGGAAGCTACGTACTGGTGGCTCATGCCTGTAATCCTACCTACTCAGGAGGCTGCAATCTGAGGACCATGATTAAAAGTCAGCCTGGGCAGGAAAGCCTATGAAACTCTTATCTCCAATAAACTACTCAAAAAAGCCAGAAGTGATGCAGTGGTTCAAGTGGTAGAGTGCTCACCTTTAGCAAAAGAAGCTCAGGGACAGTGCCCAGGCTTAGAGTTTAAGCCCCAGGACTGGGAAAATAAACAACAGAAAAAACAAAAACAAAAGAAAAGAAACTCTGAACTAGGGGAGAAATAGGAACATATCAGAAAGCATAGATGAAAAACATGCAGGGGATATATATAGATATATATCTTATATATATCTATATATATATATCTTCATGTACTTTGTTTAAACATTTTTCTACAATATGCTATGTTCTAAAAGTTAAAATTTAGAATGTAGGAAAGGCTTTAAAAGCTCATGGAGCTACACAGAAAATGCTACATCAATAAATGGAGGAAAGAGTAAGGCAGCTCTACTTCTCAACCACACTGTGCAATCAGCTCTCAGTTATTGTTTTAAAAAAATCAAAGTGTGTTCATTTATCTGTCTTTGGGAGGGAAATAGGGAAGACACAGAAATGGAGAGACAAAGGATGAACAAATGCAGCAGTGGTACTCACTAGACACTACATTGAAAATGCAACTTGTGGGTGGGCATGGGAAAGAAAAACTGGGAGAAAGTAAGGGAAGGGGTGACACTGTCCAAAAAGAATGTATACATTACCTGACTTATGAAACTGTAACCCCTATGTATATCACCTTTATAATAGCAATTAAAAAAAAAACCAAAAAAGTGTGGAGTATCACATTATAAAAAGTAATTAGAATTTTAAAATGATTAATGTTTTAAGTGACATATATCATTCTGCAAGGAAATGTCATGATTACCTTTATCATTTCTTCTTCCCCTGCTGTTTTACTCTTTGCTTCTATATCACCTGCTTCATTGCATCTAATAAAGCAGCTATTTGAGGCTAATAACGCCATTTTCCCCTAAAAAACAAATAACAAAAAAGAGGGCTATGAGAATACCTGCATGAATTTTTTTCTAGCTGGTAAAATCCAGAGGAATTTATAATAAACCTGGGAAATACAAGAACATGAAGAAGAGAAAACCCAAGCCACCTATATCTTACTACCCAAACATCAAAATATCAAAATAATTTTTTGTATATTCTTCTAATACAATTTCTTTTTCTAAAAGATTTATATAGCTTATTTAGTTTAGTTTAATATTGGTTTAAAGACAAGAAAAAGTATGACAATGAAAAGCACTGGTAAAGTGCTTTCCTAAAAAGTAAAACTCAAGGGGCTGGGAATGCATGAGGCCCTGGGTTCGATTCCTCAGCACCACATAAGCAAAAAGAAAAGAAAAGCCGGAAGTGGCGCTGTGGCTCACGTGGTAAGAGTGCTAGCCTTGAGCTGAAAAGCTGAGGGACAGCACCCAGGCCCAGAGTTCAGGCTCCACAACCAGACCGCCCCCCCCCCCCAAAAAAAGTAAAACTCAATAGTGGTAAGTCAAATCTGTATTATCAGCTTCTTGGAAAACAGGGCCTGGGAGGACCTCTCAAGCTAATCCTGGCAAAATATTTGGGAGACTTGATCTCAACCAATAGCTGAGTGTGGTGGTATAAATGCCTGTCATTATAACTATGCATGTGGAAAGTATAATTAGGAGAATTGCTGCTTAGGCCTGCTTGTGTGAAAGTTGAGACTATTCAAAAATAAGCAAAAAGGCTTGGTGGTATGGTTCAAACAGTAGATTACATGCCTAACAAGCAAAAAGCCCTGACTTCAAACCCTAACAAATAAATAAATAACAATAAAAACTGCCTAATATATAAAAATTTTTTTTTTGGGTCCGGTCGTGGGGCCTGAACTCTGGGCCTGGGTGCTGTCCCTCAGCTCAAGGCTAGCGCTCTACCACTTGAGCCACGGCGCCACTTCCGGTTTTTTTCTTTTTGCTTATGTGGTGCTGAGGAATTGAACCCAGGGCCTCAGGCATGCAAGGCAAGCGCTCTACCACTGAGCCACCTTCCCAGCCCAATATATAAAAATTTAACAAACCATTAGTGTTGTAAGTAAAAGCCAGTCTTTGGTGGCTCTGAATTTAAGAATTAATATCTGGAGGACTTTATTTTTATTTTTTGTCGGTTGTGGGGCCTGAACTCTGGGCCTGGCCGCTGTCCCTCAGCTCTTCAGCTCAATGCTAGTGCTTTATCACTTGAGCCACAGTGCCACTTCTAGCTTTTTCTGTTTATGTGGTGCTGAGGAATCGAACCCAGGGCCTCATGCATGCAAGGCAAGCACTCTACCACTGAGCCACCTTCCCAGCCCCTATCTGGAGGACCTTTGTGCATGGAATGCTATATTCTTTTAGGTGATTCTTTAAGTTGATTAAACAACCATTAAAGGTAGATGTTTTACATTGATTTCTAAACATGGGTAGATTCTCTACTACTTTTGAGTCATAGGTCCAGCCCTATACTTACTCCTATTAAATAACACATTGAAAACTAATCTTGTTGGCTGGGAAGTTGGCTCAATGATAAGAGTGCTTGCCTTGCATGCATGAGGCCCTGGGTTCGATTCCTTAGTACCACATAAGCAGAAAAAGCTAGAAGTGGCACTGTGGCTCAAGTGGTAGAGCACTACCCTTGAGCTGAAGATCTGAGGGACACCACCCAGACCCAGAGTTCAGGCCCCACAACTGACAAAAAAAAAAGAAAAGAAGAAAAAAAAAGAAAGCTAATCTTGTGCATTATACATTATACATTTGACTACAAAAACATGCTTTTTATTGACTACTTAAAATTGTTAGACTGACTGGAAGCTTTACAACAGTAGCACTTACATCCTGAAAGACTGGTTCCCACTGTTCTCTTGGTCCAATTGCATCTGAACGCCCAACAACAAGTCCATCTGAATTTATACCAAGGTATTTTCCATAGCCAGATTTTAGGGCAATTCTTAGATTAATAAGATAGATGTTAAAAAATTAGAAACAACATTAAATGTAGAACATAAACAGTATGTGTGTTATGTGTGTATGTATCTCTATGTGTATTGGGTATATGTTACTAAATATATTTAGTATTCTAAGCTCAAATATGGCTAGTTGTTGCCATCTTTGACACTGTAGTTCTATGCAGACAGTACATATTTTGCTTTTTTTCTAGTGCTGGTGTTGGGACTTGAACTTAGGTCCTGGGCACTTGACCCAAGGCTTCACTTCTAGCTTTTTGTTGTTAATTGGAGATAAGAGTGTCTCAGACTTTTCCTGTCTGGGCTGGCTTTGAACAGTGATCCTTAGATCTCATACTCCTGAGTAGCTAAGATTATAGGCATGAGACAATGGCACTTGGCTTTATATTTGCTTTTTAATATAAGCATTGTATCTTATATATAATATACATCTATATCACAAAGCAAACATTTTTCAAATGTGTTAAGTCTTCATGAATCCTTTTAATAGATGCACATTTTCTATTATAGTTATATTAAAATTTACTTTTTCTAACATTATACAAAATCCCATTGATTTCTTATTTATCTTTAGAAGACACTCCTAGAAAAGGAAATCATTGAACTAAAGGGTATTAACTCCCCCCCCTTCGCCCCCCTTCCCCCCAGTCCTTGCGCTTGATCTCAGGGCCTAGGCACTGTCCCTGAGCTTTTTGTTTTCTGTTGGTCATGGGGCTTGCACTCTGGGTCTGGACACCATTCCTCAGCTCTTTAGCTCAAGGTGAGCACTCTACCACTTGAGCCACAGTGCCACTTCCGGTTTTCTGGTAGGTTACTGGAGATAAGAGTCTCTCTGGACTTTCCTGCCCGGGCGGGCTTTGAACAGTGATCCTGAGATCTCAGCCTCCTGAGTAGCTAGGATTATAAGCCTGAGACACCAGTGCCGGCTTTTTTTTTTTTTTTGGCTTAAGGCTAGAACTCTAGCCACAGTACCACATCCAGCCTTTTCTGTTTATGGGGTACTGAGGAATTGAATTCAGGGCTTCATTCTTGCTAGGCAAGCACTCTATCACTAAGCCATATTCCCACCCCCTCAACTTTTTTTTTTTTGAAAAGGTATTACTACATGGTCCAAGCTGGCCTACAATGAAGCCACAGAGGTCAGCTAGAATGATATCAACATTATTATTGTTGTTGTTGTTATTATTATTATTTTGCCAGTTGTGGGGCTTGAACTCAGGGACCAGGCTGTCTCTAAGCTCTTTGATTCAGGGCTAGTGCTCTATACCACTTTGAGCCACAGCTCCACTTTCAATTTTCAGGTGGTTAATAGGAGAGAAGAGTCTCATGCACTTTCCTGCTTGGGCTGGTTTCAAACCAGGATCCTCAGATCTCATCCTCCTTAATAGTTAGGACTATAGGCGTGAGCCATCAGCACTCAGCTTGTTACCAACTTTAAAGCTATTACAGGTACTCAAACTGCTTTTCAGAAAAAACTGAAAGTAACACATTCTCATCCCAATTTATGGAAAGTATGTTTAGTGCTGGGGATGGATGGAACCAGGAATTATGCATTTTGGATAAACATTCTGCTACTGAGTTAAACCCTAAGCCAGAGAATGTTTTAAAATTATGGATATCTTGAGAACACTCACCCCAAAATACTCAGAAATATGGTATGGGAAAAATATTATTTCATTTACCATTATAACTATTTAGTGAAAATGACAATCAAATGTCTCTTTCTTTTTTTTTTCCTGAGACAGGATTTTGTTCCATAGCCTGACTGACTTGTATTCGTTATGCAACTAATGGTAGTCTCAAATTTACAATCCTCCTTCCTCAGCCTGGGATTATAGGTGGTATCCAGGCTTAGTTCACCAAGCATGTCTTTACTGGGGCCTGAACTCAGGGCCTGGGTGTTGTCCATTAGATTCTTTTGCTCAAGGCTGGCAATCTACCATTTGAGTCACAGATCCACTTCTAGTATATAATATTGGGAGGAATCATAAACCATATGCCATACTTTATACAGGTTGAGTATCTTTAATCTCAAAACTGGAACACTTCAAAATCCGAAACTTTTTTTTCTTTTCTTCCCATCCCTTCCCATTGTCCCCCCACCTCCTGCCCCACCAAAGTTGTAAAGTTCGTTTTTTGACATAACGACTTAAAATCCAAAACTTTTTAAGTATACACATAATACCACACAGAAAATTCCACATCTGATTTCATTTGATGACAGATCCTAGCCAAAATGTAGTCAAGGTAAAAAATTGTATAAGATTATCTTTAGCCTATGTATACAAGGTATATAAAACAAAAATTAATTTGGTTATTATTATTTGTGTGTCCCCACCAAGATATCTTAGCAGGAATGTATAAATATTCCAAAACCCAATCAGAAATCCATATTAGTTTTTGTCCCAAGCATTTTGAATATGGGATATTCATACTGTATCTTATTGGGCACATAAATAACACATATTAAAAAAAATTACAAAAGCTACTTTACAGAACTGTTTTGCTTCTTAAATTTACTTTGTAGAAGTTTTTTTTTGAGATCGGGTTTGGCCTATTAAGGGTAGTCCTTGAACTCTGACTCTCCTACGTCATCCTGCTAGATGCTGGATCACAGTTGTATATCATGCTATATCTAGCTAACTAGAATTTTTTTAATGAACGAAATTCAATTTAAGCTGGGCTCTGGTGGCTCATGCCTGTAACCTAGCTACTTAGGAGGCTGAGATCTGAGGGGTGCCATTTGAAGCCAGTGCAGAAAAGCCGGGGAGACTCTTACCCCCCAAAAAAGTGCTAGAAGTGGAGCTGTGGCTCAAGTGGTAGAATACTCGCCTTAAATGCAAAAGCTTAGGGATAGTGCCTAGGCTCTGAGTTCAAACCCCAAGTCTAGCATACATATACACACAAACACAAAAGAAAAAGAAAATAAATTTAAAAAGTTATTGATTACCTGGCATCAGACAATTTGACAGCAGTAAACTGCTCAGGAGGGCTAGGACCTTCATCAACTACAGGAAAAAAATGGAAAAATCTTGATGACTCTTATAAATAAATATGTAAAGGTATTCTACTTTAAAATAGGTATTTTTTCCCCTTATACAATTAGATGTAAGCCGGGCGCTGGTGGCTCACGCCTGTAATCCCAGCTACTCAGGAGGCTGAGATCTGGGGATCGCGGTTCAAAGCCAGCCCGGGCAGGAAAGACCAGGAGACTCCTATCTCCAATAAACCACCAGAAAACTGGAAGTGGCGCTGTAGCTCAAGTGGTAGAGCGCTCGCCTTGAGCTGAAGAGCTGAGGGACAGGGCCCAGGCCCAGAGTTCAAGCCCCACAACCGACAAAAAAAAAACACAAAAAACCAAAAAAACAATTAAATGTAAGAATATTAAGATATCTGACACAATTATAACAATATAGTACTCATAATAAGGTTTGATTATATTACATGGCTAATTTTACATTATTTCAAAACAAAACTTGTAAGCTGGAATGACACTTACTTAGTCATATCCAAAACATTTCTCTTTGTGATTTAGGATTTTTTCTTTTTGAGATCAGGTCTTGCCATGTAGTCTAAGCTAGCTCCTAACTAGCTATGTTGTTAGGCTGGTCTTAAATTCCTGATCCTTTGCCTCCATATCCCAAGTGATGGAATAAACAAATAAATGAATATTTGAAATACTAAATGCTTCTATTTATTCAAGGGATGACCATTCTGACCAAACCAATACTCCTTTTTACGTTCTAATTACTTCAGAACTCATTAGTGCTTCTCCTGAGTTAGACAATGAGAAAACTTGTACCCACATTACTTCTGGCAAAGGTCTGAAGAAAACAGAAACTCAAGTTTCTGACTCAGTAAGTTTCTCTTTTTTCATTCTACTGAATGAGATCTGAACTTCCTGAGTAACTAGGATTACAGGCATGAACCACCCAGCACCTGGCTTAATAACTGGTTTAAAGAAGGAAAAAAGTGGAAAGGCCTGATGCAATAATTCTATTTGGAATGTACTTGAGGCTAATTAGAATTTGGCTGCTATGCATGAACATTATTAAAGGCACTTTACAGGGCCTCTCCCATGTGTTGTTTCCATCAGATACAAACCTTCTTTATGTGGTGCTCCCAGTGTAAAGAGACCATTGTCAAGTGCATGAATATAGGTTCCTTTATCCATTTCAATGGCAATGGTTCCAGAAATTTCACCAAAGTTGGATACTGTCCACCAGATGCCTAAAAAAGAAAATAAGTATCTAAATTTTTTATTTAAAATTTGCTCGTTTTATCACTACTATAACTTATTTTAAAAAGCTTTTATTTTGCAGTTTTAAGAAATAACAGAGGCCTCTTTTTGCCCTTTTTTTACTTTCTCCTAATGAAAGATCGTATATAAGTATTACACATTGTCAAAGCTAGCAAACTGATACTGCTGCAATCTATGACTCAGAGTTCAACAATTACACATTTATTTGTTTGCAGAGGTACACTGAGGTGATAACCAGAGACAAGATTACATTCTCTTTAAAACATGCAAAGATACAAAAACTGATAAACAGAATAGTTTCTCTCATTCCAGACCCTATCTATCCATCCAGGTACCCTTTCCAGAATCAATGTCTATTATAAACTGTTTCTTTCTTTTTTTTTTTTTTGGGTCCGGTTGTGGGGCCTGAACTCTGGGCCTGGGCCTGTCCCTCAGCTCTTCAGCTCAAGGCTAGCACTCTACCACTTGAGCCACAGCACCACTTCTGGCTTTTTTCTTTTTGCTTATGTGGTGCTGAGGAATCGAACCCAGGGCCGAGCATGCAAGGCAAGCACTCTACCACTGAGCCACCTTCCCAGCCCCATAAACTGTTTCTTAAGTGAGCTTCAGAAAAGTACTTTCCAGCACATATATCAGTCCTACTTTTTCCTAAGTAGATACCTGAACCTTTAGCTAATATCAGATCCTATATATGCTAATTTTTCCCTATACACATATACTTTGATAAAACTTCACTTATAAATTAGGCACAAGGGCTAGGAATGTGGCTTGGTGGTAGAGTGCTTGCCTAGCATGCATGAAGCCCTGAATTAAATTCCTCATTACCACATAAACAGAAAAAGCTGGAAGTGGCACTGTGGCTCGAGTGGTAGAGTCCTGACCTTGAGCAAAAGTAGCTCAGGGACAGTGCCAAGGCCTTGTGTTCAAGTCCCAGGACTGGCAAAAATAACATAAATATATATAAATTAGGCACAACAAGAGAATATTAAATAATACACATAAGTAAAATTAATGGATGTGGTCTCCCTTAACATAACATGCTTTTTATCTTTTTACTTAAAGTACTTTATAGCTTCTTTTTGGCATATCCAAATTACTCTTGTACTTTGGGACTATTATTAAGTAAAAGAACTAACACTGTAATAATATCACAGCATCTGATTTTATAATTCAATTGGCTACATGACTGAAACAGGTGAGTATATACAATGGACAAAGGGACAATTCACATTCAGCTTGAAGAATGGGAGTTTTGATCATGCTACACAGATGATGCATACTTTTAAAACACATTGCTGATTTCTAGAAAATTTCAATTTAATATTTTCAGACCGCAGCTGGCTACAGGTAATGAAATCTGTAAAGGGACAATGTAAAAGTAAGTTACTGTAAACTATGATTTTTTTTTTGGGTCTGGTCATAGGGCCTGAACTCTGGGCCTGGGCACTGTCCCTCAGCTCTTCAGCTCAAGGCTAGCACTCTACCACTTGAGCCACAGCACCACTTCTGGCTTTTTTCTTTTTGCTTATGTGGTGCTGAGGAATCGAACCCAGGGCCTCATGCATGCAAGGCAAGCACGCTACCACTGAGCCACCTTCCCAGCCCAACTATGATTTTTTTAAACTATGATTTTAGATGAGAAATAAAATGAGCAGGGTGCAGGTCTATGAAGATTCATGTTTAATCAAAAGGTTCAACTGATTTAGCAACCACTTAAAAACTTGTATTTTAACAGACAAAAGGTCTCAAATCTTCATTCAAATTGTAGATTACCAAGAATAAAATACAACCAATCATTAACTATATATAGATAATATTAAGGAACTCTTGTGTTAATTCTGCAAGATCTGATAATAGCATACTTGTATAAAAAAATAAGTAAAGGGCTGGGAAGGTGGCTCAGTGGTAGAGCACTTGCCTTGTATGCCTGAGGCTCTGGGTTCGATTCCTCAACACCACATAAGCAAAAAGAAAAAAGCTGGAAGTGGTGCTGTGGCTCAAGTGGTAGAGCACTAGCCTTGAGCTGAAGAGCTAAGGGACAGCGCCCAGGCCCAGAGTACAAACCCCACGACTGGACCCCCCCAAAAAATTGTGGATACAAAAAATAAGTAAAAAGGGAATGAGACCCTGACATATCACAGTAACTACGAGCTATATAAAAATTTCCAGAAACAAATATGGTTCATGTATGTATAACTTTGTACAACCAGAAAAAATTATATATAATTACTGTAATTACTAATAGTGAAGAGAATGGATATATGATTAGTTTAATTTTTAATAATTTAATAATAATGATAATTATAATAATATATTATAATGTAACTCATAACTGAGCTAAATTATTAATTGAATTATTCAACTTCTATATTAGTTTGGAAATTTTCATTAAGAAAGTTTTCTAAAAACTTGAGTTTATACTATATAAGACTTCCTATCTAAATATGTTAGGTCTATAGTTATTAAAGTATTAGTAAAATTTTAGCTATTATGAACTACAATTAACAAAATGTATCAGGACCTAAATGAAGTTTTGTAAATTGAAGGGATGAGTGGGATTGGGAGAGACAGGAGAGAATAGAATGGGTGATATTAAGATGTGGTGTACGCACAAATTAACATGTTGAATTGAAAACCTTTCGCATACTACTTAAAGATAATACAAAAGCTAAAATAGAGAGACAATAGAAAAAAAGACAAATTGGATTTCACAAAAATTAACAACTTTAGATACAGGATGACCCATTGTAACAATGAGATGTACAAGACAGTATGTTGAAAACAAACTTTACAACTTTGGTGGGGGGGGGAGGGGAGGGAGGAAAGGGAGGAGTTGGGGAGGTAGAGAGGAAAGGGATGGTAGGGGAAATATAAAGGAGGGTGTAACAATGCTCGATAGGAAACAGACTCATTACCTTGCTCATGTAACTGTAACCCCTCTGTACAATATCTTTACAATAAAAATATATATTAAAAAATGAACAACTTTAGTGCATCAGAGACTTGGAAATCACATACATGGCAAGGGATTAACATCCAGTACATGTAGCATTCCAAAAAAACACACATTTAAAAGTGGGATAAAAACATGAATGCCCATAAAAAAGATGCTTAACACCACTAGACATTAGGGAAATGCAAATCAAAACCACAATGAAAAAGTAAAAAAAATATTGTACATGCAAATATGTGGTACCTAAAAAGTGTGTTTAATTAAAGCTAGAAATTTTATGTTGAAAAAAAGATGCCTCTTCACACCCATTAGGATTACTGTAATAGAACAAAATAAAGCAAAACAGAAAAAGAGTTTTGGTAAGGATATAGAGAAATTGCAATCCCATTTATGCACTGCTGGTGGAAATGTAAAATGCTATGTATAGCCTCTACAGAAAATGTGTGATAGTCAACAAACAAACTGATAGAGCAGCAGTTCTTCTGAATATATAACCAGAAGCATTATAAGCAGTGATAGCTCCAGCTCTGATGCAGCTGGTAGGGAAGGAGGCTGGGAAGGAGAAGCTGACGCCTGCTTACCATGTAAGATGGGTAGCCTCTGCGATGGAGTGGTAAACCTTGTTTCTGGACAAATTCATACCTCCCTCAAGCCTTAAACCATCTTGTTAGGAGGGCTTTCTGCTTGAGACTGAGGTACAGGAGGATCAGATTACATGAGCTGGGTGCAAGCAAACGCAAACTAGGCAGGCATTAAGAAGATATAAAGAGGATTTGGGGAAAAAAAAGAAACAACGTGTCATCCATCAGTGTCTTTAGTGATACCCAGCCATTGTCTTAGAGGCTGAGATTGCAAGAGGAAGAGTTGTGTTTTCTTCCCAGTGAGAGCAACTACAACTTTACTGCCCAAGGGTCATTTCAGAAAGCAAAAGACCTAGCTTCCCCTCACAGAGCTCCAATCACAATGATTCCTTTATCTTTGCCATCAACCAGGGAAGGCCTGGAAAAGTAAGGAACATTTGTTGATGTGAAGGGCTGGGACATCCAGCCTGGGTCTAGGTGACAAACTGCCATCAGAGATGAACACAGAGAAGGAGAGTTATAGGGAAAGTTACTCAGAGAGGGAGAGTTAACAGGGCCCCAAAGTTGGCAGCCCCACCCAGCCACTTCATTGCGGCAGGCCACTTGAAAAAACAAAGGACCTAGCACACAGGAAGGAGGTAGACAGTTCAGATTAGACGACTAAGACTCTAGGAGGCTGAAGAATATTCAGGGATGTGGATTTCTGCAATAACCATCTTAAGGCCAACAAACAGGAGAGATTTTAAATTAGGCAAGCTGAGGGCTTCTGACCAGAGCCATAGAAGCAGTTGGCAGCCTTACCCTGATAGTGACAGCAGTTTCCTTGCCTGATGGACACTTCAGGAGAAAGGGCCCTTGCCTTGGCTGCTGGAATGCTCTGACCTTGGGACCTGACCGGAAGACCAATCTACTTTAGCTTCTAGTAAGCAGCCTGTAGCCAGGAAGGGCTAGAGACTCAGCCGCAGCTCAAGGGCTTGGAAAACAAAGACCAACAGCCATGAGAAGGAGCTGTGGAAGGAGAGGGGCTAAGATGGAGACGCAAGTGGAGAATTCAAAGCAGCAAGAAGAACTTAGGCAGTGAAAGGTTCGAGGGGTGACCTCACCTCTCGTGAAGGTCACTACAGACTACAGACACAGCATCAAGCTTACAGCTGTCAAAATGCCCAGCACCTGAAGCTGTCTGGTGCTATAGAGGCTCGCTACTAGGCAGGCCTCAAAACTCCAGGAGTAGGACTTGGGACTCACATCATGCCACATGGCCTCAGCCTCACCACAGGGTGATAAGCTAATGGTCAGGATCTGAAAAGATGGGAAACCTGCAAGTGGAACACTGAAGTCCCTCAGTTTTCCACCATGGGTGAAGAACTCAGTGAGTTACTTGTTCCCCATTACTGGGTACATTAGGGGAACTTCCTATGAACACAGCAAGCCATTA